TATTATAAATGTTGCTGCTATGAACATAAGGGTGAATATATCCTTTCTGATTGGTGTTTCTAGTTTCTTGGGATATATTCCTAGAAGTGGGATAATTGGGTCAAATAGAAGTTTCATTTTTAGATTTTTGAAGAAACTCCATACTGTTCTCCACAGTGGCTGCACCAGTCTGCATTCCCACCAGCAGTGTACGAGGGTTCCTTTTTCTTTGCATCCTCTCTAGCACTTGTCATGTGTTGATTTGTTAAAGATAGCCATTCTGACAGTGATTTTTTTGTGGCACATTACAAATACTATTATTACATAGGTCATCCTTATTTATGTGGTACATTTTATCATAAGAAAAAAAAGTCACAGTTGTCCCATTTGAATTTCTGCATGATTTCATGCCCCTGATCTTTTAAAAATGCGAAAAAAATTTAAAAGAGTTGGCTTATCACAGAATAAATCCAATAATACTTATCCTTGCATGCTAATATAAATGATGATAGTTTTGGTGGTGATTGCAGGGAGAGTTAAGATATTGCTCGATTATTTTGTACCATGTACCCTTTTATTAGTTTTAAATAATGCTAGAAAAAAATCTGGTGTTTGAAAAGTTGTCTAAATGAATGATTTTCACAATTTTTATATATTACTAGAGGCCCAGTGCGCACGAAATTGTGCACGGTTAGGGTCCCTAGGCCTAGTCTGTCCTCTGTCGCTTGGCCTCTGCTGCCCTGTGAAGCTACGTGAAGCTCCACGCTCCAGGATGCTCCACGATGCTTGCAGCCCCTCAACTGCTCTGTGGGGCTCCCCTGCCCCTCGACTGCTTTGTGAACCCTGCGACTGCTCCGCAAAGCTCCCCACACCCCTGGACTTTTCCGCAAAGCTCGAACAGTCCTTCTGCCCCACAACTGCTTTGCGAAACTCTCTGCCGCCTGGGTGACTGCTCTGCTACGCTCATGGCCACCCCATTAAGCAGCCTGCCACCACCGCTCAACAGTCCCCAGTCCCACCCCGCTGCTAGCCCCCCTCATGTGAGTGGCTGGGGCCGGGGGAGTGAGGGGACCGAGAGGTGCTTCGTGCACTTCATGGTGACCGGTCACCCATTTGGTTGTGACAGCACCTAGCTGTTTATATATATTAGGATACTTTAATAACAAGTATATGTTTGCATGTACATAGATACACAAACCAAAACCCAAAATTTCAGAAAATCATGTTTGTCTTTAGCACATGATAGCTTCTTATATTTTCTACTAGAGCAGCAGTTCTCAACCTGTGGGTTGCAACCCTTTCACAGGGGTCGCCTAAGACCATTGGAAAACATATTTTCGATGGTCTTAGGAACCGAGACACCGCTCCTCTATCCGTCTCCAGGCGGGTCCACCCACATGCAGATACGCCCACTATGAGTACCCAGCGTATTAAAGGGTCGTGGCATTAGGAAGGTTGAGAACCACTGTACTAGAGGCCCAGTACACGAATTTGTGCAAGGGTGGGGTCCCTTGGCCTGGCCAGTGATTGGGGCCGATTGGGGGGGCTGGCTAGCTGGGGAGATACCGCAGAAGGTTGGCCAGCCACAGGGGGTTGGCCGGCCGCAGGAGGTTGGCTGTGGGAGCACACTGACCACCAGGGGGCAGCTCCTCCATTGAGTGTCTTCCCCCTGGTGGTCAGTGCACATCGTAGCAACCGGTCAACAGGTCATTTGGTCATTTGGTCGCTTAGGCTTATATATATAGATTTGAATTTGTTCTATTGCACTTCAAAAATGATGGTATTGACCCAATAAATTGATTTCACTACCTACAGATGGGTCATGATTCATAGTTAACCACTATATTTAACACATGTGCTAAAGATAGAGTGTGACAAAAGAAAAAATTATTCTTTAAGCTCTATGAATTGGTGGAGTTTATCCAAGACTTGGCTTTGATATGATATTACTTTTACTTTTAGAAACCTCTTCCCCATGTCCAAGCTAAACATTCCTTGTTGCATATTATAACAAAATGTCAAAAGTAGGTTCTGAGTTCTTAGAAATACAATACCTTGGCAAGTGTCATTCTATACCCTTTTATAGGTAGAGGTTACAATTACAGAGTTTACAGTTTGCTGGTTAAATGACATTTGTGTAAGTATCATGTATCATAATTCCCAACTCAAACTTTTTCTCATGCTTATATCCCACAGTGTTTTCTTACATACTTTCCACATCTCTCTGTAGGCTAAGAAGATCATGCTGAGTTTGCATAGTTAGTGTCTTAGGGATTGACCAACTGGCCTTGGCTAGAATACCTTATTTACTTATTTTATTCAATGTGCAATAATATGTATAAATAATCATATGTATAGCTCAGACTTCATAGGTCAGTGAGACTCCAGTTCTGGTTGAGGCTCTCAGTTTCAGTCATTTAAGTTGTGCAGGAAAACAACCTTAGATTGAAGAGCAACAGTTAATTGGAGTGATGAGCAGGGAAATTTACTGGGGGATTTTCTTTTGACTCATGTTAGTAGGTTAATATTATGCTGATATTCACATAAATATACTCTAAGCCAGGTGGGAACTTTGTGATTTATAACTAGAAGCCTAAATTATAAATAGCAGGCCCATGGTAATCATTTGTGGGAAAAAAACTCAATAAAAATATTGCACATTAAAAAAAGACTATTTCCATTTATGAACATATTTATATAAATCTTTGTGACATACAGATTCTTAATTTATGTATGGACTTAATTCATTTTTGAGGAAACTAAAACCAAATATGAATGTAGGACAAAATACCTTTTGAAAATATTTTGTAAGTTGGGTTATTCCAGATTGATGAACCCTTTTTAGTCATTTTGGGACTTATTTATGGTAGTGTCAAACATTGTGGAAAAACATACAAGCTATAAATATGAATTTCTTGAGCATTTGATGTTTTTATGATTTATGCATGAGAGATTATACAG